ATTAATGCGTTATTATACATTACTATAAGCTCATTGTTTGTTATCTTATTGTTCATTGTCCCATACCTGGGACATGAGTTTCGCTCGTTTCAGCATGCAGTTCGAACAGCCGAAGTATTTGACGGTGTGTGTCAGCGGTCGCGGTGAGTCTAGCAGAAACTCGGAGGGAGTGGCGTAGAGGATGGTTCGTTTCTCTTCCGGCGCGTACCTTTGCAGCTTGTAGCCGAGGCGCCTGTAAAGCTTCTCAGACTTTGCCATGATGATACCTCTTACGTACGAAAGGATCAGTCGACAGACGCAGTTGAGCATGCGACGGACAAAGTCCATCGGCGACGTCAGCTTCGTCACCGTAGTCGGCAAGTAGGCGGGGTTCGACGGTATGCCAAAGTAGTCCATGTAAGTGTCGGTCATCGGGTAGTTGGAGAGGTAGACGCGCGGGACATTGAGCATGAGGGACATTCCGAGGGCGCATTCGTTGAGCAGGAAGTCCATGACCAGCAGGTCGAGGTCTAACGCCTTGATGCGCCGAACGAACGGTTCGTGCCTCAACGCAGCCTCGCATCCGTCGGTCTGAAAATCCAAGATCTTCAGGAACAGGGTCAAACTCTTCAAGTTCGGTCGGTCGTCGCCGAAGGGCACGGTGCTGTGCCAGATCTGCGTCTGGATCTTATGCAGAAGTGCACTGGCCCCTGCGTTGCGGTTGTCGAACATGACCGTCGTGCAGTTGCTCCTCGACGACGACGGCATCGCGATGTTGAAGTCAAAAATGCGGATCTGAATCACGGTCACCTTGTGGCCGTTGTTGGCCAGCTTCTCGGCCAGCTGGTACATCATCGCGTCGTGACTGTACGGGCCGGTGTTGGTGAACAGACCGATGTGGCGGCCACTGGCCGCCTGTTTGCCGAGGGTGCTCCTCACGAGGCATGCTACAGTCGAACAGGTCAGCAGGAGCCGCGCCAAATACATCGATCGACGGCGGGGTACACGACGCAGCGATCACAGGAGCAGGCAAACCGGCCACTGCTGATGTAGGACACTGTATGAAATGGCAGCAGTGCCGTTCTTACTGCTGATTCAATGAAACAAGTTCTTTTTCTATCTTTTGCGGTGGTAAGTCGCTATGCGATGCCACTGTCGAAAGCGGTGAAACGAAAACGAAGGCGGAGCGTTATCATTGGTCATTGTGAATGCGCACAGGCAAAAACCAAAAATTCAGGGACACCGTTTTTGCGATTACCAGTGCGGTCGCAGTCGAATACGTTTCAATTAGGAAAGTAGCAACAGACTAGCAGACTACCATCAACGAACGAACGTCGTCCTTCTCGCGAAAAATTTACGCTCGAAATGACTTTAAACCAAGCCATCAATCAATCACATTTTTTCCTCTGACTGACGTCAAAAAAATCGCTTTGCATTTCTGAGTTCAAAGCTGCCAAACAAGTCGCTATTGGCATATAGCACTCACCATTATCTCCGTACCATTTTTTAACTGGCCACGTAAACAGCCGCTTTTTTAATCAAGTAAGTTCGCTCAAACTTTCCAGTTCTGTGTCCAACGCCAACAGTGCTGCTCATCGAAAAGTGCGATTTAAGGGCAGATGGTGGAAATGGGGTTCAATCCAACAATTGCTGTTGGTACTCGGCTTGAGGAGCTTCAGAGTACGGCAGTCGAAGACATCTTCGCTTGTGATCTGTTCACTTTACACATTGGAGGATCGAAATCAATTTTAATACGCGATGACAACAAGAGAGCGGACACTCGCAG